TAAACAGAATTTCAATATATCATTCTTTACATGATTACCAGGGGTTCTGAGTGACCGGGTCACCGTCTAAAGTGCTTACCATTACGGATCACTGCCATCATACCTCTGTCTTCTTGGATTCAAGTTTTGGGCTCGGCCAGTGTGGGTACATGTGAAAGCTTGTTAGTAGTTTCTCGTGGGTGGGTGGTTCTTTCCAGGGTTTTCTCTTCCTACACCATCTTTTATACTGGCTGCCATGTATAACCTATCTTGTGCTGAAAAAATGATGTTAAAACCTATAAAAACAATAACAACAATATAAATACCAATAATAGACTTTTATTTGCCTGTCTGATTCACACCAGTAAAAGTTGCCTATGAATGCTTAATTATGAATATTAATAAATTCAGGTTTTACCTGTATGCTATGAAGTGTATCTTCATTTTGCTGCATTTTGATGAAATCCAGTGTATTTAGTTAATGTCTCATATTCACCAATACAGACAGCCTTACTTTTGTTAGGCATTAAGTCGGACATGGCATATCAAATGGTAGGCATTAAGCCAGACATAGCATATCAAATGGTAGGCATTAAGTCAGACATGGCGTATCAAATGATAAGGCATTAAGTTGGACATGGCATATCAAATGGTAGGCATTAAGTCAGACAATGCATATCAAATGGTAGGCATTAAGATGGACATGGCATATCAAATGGTTGGCATTAAGTCGGACATGGCATATCAAATGGTAGGCATTAAGTCGGACATGGCATATCAAATAGTAGGCATTAAATCGGACATGGCATATCAATTGGTAGGCATTAAGTTGGACATGGCATATCAAATGGTAGGAATTAAGTTGGACATGGCATATCAAATGGTAGGCATTAAGTCAGACATGGCATATCAAATGGTCTGCATAGTCTGTGAGATATTTATTAGAAATAGTTGATGTTGACTGGCATAACCCGAATTGTTTAATAGAAGGGACTATTCCAGAACACCTGCGTGCACTGCAATAGTACTGAGGGACAATTTAATAAACATTTTAGTTTTAGACTATATGTGGTCCATGCTGTGGGCCGATTTATGTGAAATAGTCACCTTTAAGTTTGTTGTAGTTGTTGTTATAGGGTTTAGCACCATTTTTCAGTATATGATAGGCTATACATGGCGGCCAGTATGGTATAAATGATGGAGTCAGAACCTGGGAGAACCCTGGAAACAAACACTAACCCATGAGAATTTACTGGCAAGCTTTCTCAGGTACCCACAAAGGCTAAGCCCAAGACGCTATCCCACATTTCTTAGCTTGTCATTTAGCATGAACATGCCCAAATGATAAAGTTCACTTCACCATTCCTTGATTTCACATTTCCTACTCCTCCTTTCCCACACACACAATACAGTACATAAAGTAAAAATGTAAATTTTTGTGTGAATTTTCCCATCATTGTGGATCATTGAAATTTAGAAATAGAATTTATGTGATTTGTAGTCCATTTTGGTGCTGATTTCATGATCATAAATACCAAAAATTACATCACTACCTGTATCTCTAAAAATTCCTGCTTAAATGTAACATACGATTCTATCATGACATTGCAGCGAAAAATTAATGTGAGTAATGATGTACAAGTAAGAATTTACCATTGTCATTTTAGAGCTATGGAAGCTTATTTGGTAGAGACTTGAACTCTGAATTAATTGGTTGTAGGTTCAGTACTTTTCCAGGTCACCTGCCACCCAACATCATGACAATAAATCAGATCACTTTGTAAATATCTTTTTTAGCAGTTTGCACCTTGTCTTCTTTTCATCAATTCCTGCTACTGATATATTTAAAATTTAAAAAAAAGATAAATGGCAACATTATATCTTCTAAGTGTTCCAACCCTTTCCTTCCGCACTACGACCACTCCGGTGGCCTTGAGTGGTAGAGAGTCCAGAGTGGTAGAGAGTCCACCTCAGATGTGAGAGGTCATGTTTTCAAACCCTGGCAGACATTCCCACCCTGTTTCAAAACATCAAATTGCCTACTAGTGTATTTTGGAAGTTTTATGACTATTGTAACCATTCTTGCTGATTCAAGCTGTCGTTTTTCAAATTTTTCTTAATCAGTCAACAAGAATCCATCCCAGACTACACAGGCATCATCCATAGACATAACTTAGATTATATACAGTTTTGATAAAATCTGCCTGTTTTTTTTTTTTAGTTTTTGAAGATTGCCTATTTGAGCTGATGCTGTTTTCAAAATGCTATAAATGTGACAAGTCCATTTGATGAAAGTAGTAATCTTAGATGGCGATAAGTATTCACATATTTAAGTTTGATATTATAAAAAACAAGTTCAGGATTATTTTGTTACATTTTATTTGTCAAAAAAATAGCCACTGCTTTTCTGGATTAAACTTTTAGAGTCAATGCTTGGACCAGTTATGCAATTTTATTAGGTCATCATTCATGACAAGCTTTATTTCATCACAGTAAGGAGGTGAATATTGCAGAGATGAGTCGAGGGGCCCCGAGTGGCCGAGTGGTCTAAAGCGCTGTCCGTTACGGATCACTGCCATCTCACCTCTATCTGCGTGGGTTCGAGTCTAAGATTCGGCGAATGTGGATATGTGAGAGAGCTTGCCAGTAGCTTCTCGTGGGTCGGTGGTTCTTTCCGGTGATTTCCCGGTTTCTTCCTCCACCATTAATACTGGCCGCCATGTATAGCCTTTCCTGTGCTGAAAAATGGCGTTAAACCCACAACAACAGCAACAACAGCAGAGATGAGTCGTATCAAAAAGACAAGTGAGAGAGCTTATACCATCAACAATATTGCCTACATCAATTAAAAACACGCCTGACCCAAGCACACATCCTTGGGGCACACCAGCATTTATAACTAATTCCCATAAATTAGCATCATACAAAAGGACCATTTTGTTTTCTATTCCTTAAATAACTTTGAAACCATTTTATCAGATTACCTGATAGATCACAAAGTACAATACAAGAATTTTGAGATTGTTCTAATGAATTGCATAATTATACTAAGATACATTTTAGTAAGTTGAAAAACAGTGGAAAGTCAAGGAAGGAATCCGGATTAATACTTCTAATAAATTTGTTTTGAAAAAAATTATCCACTTAGCTTAAAAATGATTATTTTGACACTTATGTAGACAAATTGGTCTATACCATAAATTGGCAACTTCATGTGGGTCACCTTCTTTAGGAATGTGAAGAGTGTGCATAAGTATTTTTTTTTTATCTGGAAATTTATTTTCCTTCAGTGATCAATTTAAAGCATAGTGCCAGTGGTGCTGCTGTTGTTTCACTGACATCTTTAAGCATTATCTGACTTATGCCATCAGGCCTGGTGGTTTTATTGACAGAAATGGAATTAATATCATTTTAATAATTTCTTTTTCGGTAATATTAATTTTGTTTAGGGTGTTGAATCATTTTTTTAATATAGGGAGAGGAACAATGCTATCATAAATAGTTGAAGGTGGAATAAAAAAATCATTTAATAAGTTTTCTTTGTCATTACAGATGCAAACTTAAGCATTATTTCTTGTATCTATAAGTGGTGGAATAGAATTTGAAGGATATAACTCTTTTAAATAGAATTTTGTAATTTTCCAAAATGTTTTAGGAAAGAAGCAAAATTATCCATATATTGCTTTTTACCATACTTTCTCATTGTGTTTACTTTATTGCTGATTTGCATCAATTGTTTCCAGTCAGTTGGCATAACCATGACTGATGTCAAATTTGTGTGCTCTGTCTCTTTTCCTTATCTTTTTTCTTAATTGTCAATCAAACGATTGTTTTTTGGTTGGGCAAATTGTTAAAGTTTTACAAGGAATACATAAAGTTGAGAATTTTATTAGTTTGGTTGTGAATATCGATTGGTGTTAGCAATAGCTCTGCCCAGTTAGTTCCTGTTATCTGAGCTTTGTTATTATAAGTCCAGACATGGCACATGAAGGCCACATGGAGGTACATGTTAGCACTGTTTGCTCTATTAGAAGCATCATGATCACAAAATTCTGTATCAATTTTTAAGATGTCTGTGTGTAAATTATATTATGCCACTTTAACTTTCAAAGATTGGATCAAACAAGGTTTAGTTAATACATGTAACGTGTAGGATTTGTTATTGCATCTCATAGACTATATTTTGGCATTAAATGAACTAAATTGGCAGAAGCAGACTTTATGTACAAGTCAAGTTTTTAAGCCTCACATAATAATAATGTGTTTATTAATGTCACGGATGATACCAATTGATGATTAAAAACTTTCCCAAAATTACCTGTAAGGCTAATTTATGTGAGGACAACATAATCTCAGTCCACATTAGTTCAGCACTGTGAAAAAGTTTGAATTGTTAAGATGTTTGCAAAGGAGTTATTGGATGTGTATACCACGATGTCACCTTGTTAACAGTTTGTTAAACCATTAAGGTTTAAACATTCCATATGGATGCTAAAATTTAAATGTGTTTTACTAAAGCAATAAATTGAACATTTTTTTCTTAGCTATACTTTCTAAGTATTCAGGTTTTTGTTAGATGCTTCTAATATCCAAATGAAGTAAAGAAATTTCATTACCATTGATAGGTCCTGGCTTGTTTCAGTAATGTCTGCACAAAGTGTTAGCGTGAATGAAATCATTAAAACCAATGGAGTATTCTTGAGAGCTGCTTATAAAACATATTTCAAGATATGTTTGTCATGTTGAGCTGCTTATAAAACATTTCAAGATATGTTTGTGATGTTTAGCTGCTTATAAAACATTTCAAGACATGTTTGTCATATTGAGCTGCTTATAAAACATGTTTCAAGACAAGTTTGCCATGTTGAGCTGCTTATAAAACATATTTCAAGGCATGTTTGTCACGTTGAGCTGCTTATAAAACATACTTCAAGACATGTTTATCATGTTGAGCTGCTTATAAAACATATTTCAAAGCATGTTTGTCATGTTGATTTTTCATGCCTTTGCCACTAAACATTGACCACTCTGTTGGCCTAGTGGTTAGAGCATCTGCCTCAAATGTGGAAGGTTGTGAGTTTGAACCTCAGCCAAGTCATACCAAAGACTTAAAAAATGGTGTTAATGGGTGCCTCACTATGTGCTCAGTTAAGACTGGTCTACCTTAGATGTCAGGATAATATGACTTGGGGGTGGACATTGTGCTACATGTCAGTGCAGCATGATGCCCCTGTGCTAGACATCATATAGACTGCCACACTGCATACATCATATAGCGATATGTCTCAAAATGTTTTAAAGCTATGTTAAAAATCCAAATCACACACACAACACTAAACATTGAACAATTGTTTAATATCCAGTTGTGATTCTGTACTACATTATGGAGTTATCCGTTATTAGTAAGGGTTGTATTTTGTAGTAGCTTTTCACTTTTGGGGGTATTTTTTTTAAGACAAGATTGGTAAATTCATGTATAAGAATCTGTACAACATATTGTTAATAGCATTGTGAATAGAGGGAGAAAAAAAGAGTAATAATGTCAAGTAAATAAATAAAATAATAGACGTGATCATGCTTGCAAGTTTCTCGAGATTGAGATAATTTGCTGGGTAATTCAGCGTACAACTGGGGGAAATAGTATAGTGATTTTGAACTTGAAGCAAATACTTGATACAGTGGTACAGCTATGCACTAAATAATTTCAGTACAGGTCAGCTAAATATGGAGTTCTGCTTCGAGATGAAATCATGTAAACACCTTAAGACTAGATATCACACTCCATTCCAATGATCACAATGGTAACATGGAAAGACATGTATACATGGCTGCCCATATTCATTTGCATTTATGCAGATACACATATATACATATATGCATACATATAAACATGTATACATGACGCATAAGCATGATTGTCGATGTTACCAAAAAAATATAATGAGCGCCATGTTGCATCTTTAGCAACAGGCCCTAAATGTAGAACAAATTATGCATATGTGCCAGTAAAGTTCAAATATGGAAACAAAAATAGATAGACCTTAAAACATAACAATATATTTTCATAACATATATTATCAACAATAGTGGAAGAAATTAAAGCATCCTACTAACTTTCTCGATCAACTGCTTTTGTCCATGTTAGGCAGACGTCAGCCAGGTGAGTGAACTCAGACACCCTTGGGCCTCTTTTTTCTTTTTTGGACATTGTTTTCACCAGCATTTTTTTGCAGTATATCATATTGTCTTCCCATTAGTTGTATTATTTCCAAAATTCTACACTCTTTTCAAAATATAAAAAAGTGTTTCCTTTGTCCTCAGTCTAGTAAAACTTTCATTTTCGTACAAGTCTTTAGACTTGTTAAATTGTACAAGTCTTTAGACTTGTTAATGTTGTATCCTTCATGAATCTTCAGACTTGTTAGTTTAATCATTCATGATTTTTTGGTCTTGTTTGTTGTATCTTTCACGAATCTTTGGTCTTGTCTTATGTATTGTGTAATTGTGCAGTTATTATCTACTTTATTATTTACTTAACAGTTGCATCTTATTTTGCTATATATCATTATTGCAGATGTTTGTCCATACATAGATATGAAATGATTTTCTTACAGGATAATTTAGTGACTGATTCTAGTTTGTATTAATATGTGTAGTTTAATAACTGAACTACAGTTGTTTTAAAAGAAAGGCCAAATCAACAAAGTAGATTTTTTAAAAAATTTTCTTTTTGTATGAAAATGATTCAAATCTAGATTGTCCATGGGATATCTGTTCTCATTATAAAGTCAATAATGTACAAGTTGGTGTTCAAAAGCAACCATCCAGCCAGCATTTTATATTTTTCATGTATATACATCATTTATACAAGTGTACTCCTCTGCATGAGCTCAATTTCATTCAAGAATAATTTTAATGAAAAGAACAAGGCAACTTGAATTAGTTAATTGTGACATAAATTAACTTTGAGTTAATCCAAGTTAGAGTTTTTTATATTCATGATTGATACTTTGAGGTATAAGTTGTGCAGGATAATTTTTTTAATGAGATCTGGATTTTGATAAAGCATGACAATATTGAATGCATAAAACAACTGAAACTATATATATATATATATATATATATATATATATATATATATATATATATATATATATATATATATATATATATATATATATATATATATATATATATGTGTGTGTGTGTGTGTGTGTGTGTAAGCTAATTTGCCTCATCAGTTTATTCTTAGTCCATTGTTTACATTCAGAATTGACTTATGATTGTAAATTAACTGGAACGTGGAATCTCAAAAGTACTTCATTATTTTAAAACTGACAGTCAAGTCTTTGAGTGTGTGGAATAACATGGAAATAATCTCAGTCAAGTCTTTGAGTGTGTGGAATAACATGGAAATAAACTCAGTCAAGTCTTTGAGTGTGTGGAATAACATGGAAATAATCTCAGTCAAGTCTTTGAGTGTGTGGAATAACATGGAAATAATCTTAGTCAAGTCTTTGAATGTGTGGAATTACATGGAAATAATCTTAGTCAAGTCTTTGAGTGTGTGGAATAACATGGAAATAATCTTAGTTAAGTCTTTGAGTGTGTAGAATAACATGGAAATAATCTCAGTCAAGTCTTTGAGTGTGTGGAATAACATGGAAATAATCTTAGTCAAGTCTTTGAATGTGTGGAATTACATGGAAATAATCTTAGTCAAGTCTTTGAGTGTGTGGAATAACATGGAAATAATCTTAGTTAAGTCTTTGAGTGTGTAGAATAACATGGAAATAATCTCAGTCAAGTCTTTGAGTGTGTGGAATAACATGGAAATAATCTTAGTCAAGTCTTTGAGTATGTGGAATAACATGGAAATAACCTTAGTCAAGTCTTTGAATGTGTGGAATAACATGGAAATAGTCTTAGTCAAGTCTTTGAGTGTGTGGAATAACATGGAAATAATCTTGGTCAAGTCTTTGAGTGTGTGGAATAACATGGAAATAATCTTAGTCAAGTCTTTGAGTGTGTGGAAAAACATGGAAATAATAATAAGGCAGCAAGCTGGTACTAGATCTGATTTATTATTGCAGTATACTGACTTTGACCTGACAAGGTATGCATTGATGACAAAGCTGGTGTTTGCTGCCTTCATGATTCTGGTTCCAATCCTACTTCTCAACATGTTGATTGCCATGATGGGAAACACATACCAACAGGTCATCTCAAAGTCTGAGAAGGAATGGAGGAAACAGGTAACACAACACAATTATTTCCAAAACTTTTATATACCTTCAATCTGGCACAGTTAGTATAAGATTAAATGATTATAGTTAGGTATTTAACAAGGTGTATATTTTTGCCTAATCATTCACAAAAAATAAAGTCCAAAAGACTTTATGTTAACTTTGTGAATGACTATGTAACAATTTTTTCGAACAAGAGAAAGAGATACATAAAGATAAATGAACTTGCTGCATATTTAGCTGTAAATTATCGTATTCATGATTGCATAAAATAACCAACATAATGTTATCCACAAATTTATCAAATTTGTAATTGCTATTATCATATAAAAGATAAAGTCATGTTCTAAAGAATGTTACGGTTAGAAAATTTATTCTTGTGAAATGATTCTATCTTTGATCAGTCTCTTGACTGGACTTTAAAATATGTTTATTCAGTAGCTTAAATCACCAGATTTTTCACAGCAATTAAAATTAAAATCAAAAGAACTGAAGCATCACTTTTCATTTAGATATGAATTTGTCTGCTTTTGAATTTTATGTTTTAAATTATTCACCATCATTTACAAGATTTTGAATGATAAAATCTTGTATGGACTTGTATCAATTGTGTGTTAAGAAAAAATAATATACAGCTTAAAAATACAGAAGATGCACTTATAGCATTTTAAAGTAAAATCCCTCATAGTACAGATAGTGCACAAAACATTAGTAAATTAAATAAAATATAGAAGCAATCTGAGGAATGTAGACTATAGTACAAGTCACATGGGTCATATATGCACATTTATTCATTTTGAATTAAATATAACTTGTTCTTTTAATCTCTAACACTACCTTTCTTTAAACAAAGTCAATTTAATCAGAGTTTTTTTAATGATCTGCACTTTTAACTGTCATCAGGAAACTTCCTACAGTCTTTTACAGTGGTGGCTATGTACTAAACATGGGTCAAGAAAAGAGCACTGCAAGTAGAATCATTACAATATAGGGTAGAACATATTTGTTTATCAATATGCATAACAGTCATTGTGACATCACAGCAAGCGGCATTCAATCTGGATTGTACTAAATTGCACCTTTAGGTAAATTTTCTCCAAAAATGTCTTTGTACTTTAACATCGATTTTTCCTTATACACTTCTTGAGGCATCTAAAAATAATGACCCTCCTTAATGGAATGCGGATGTATAAGATCCCAAATGAAATGAATACTTGCCACTTAAGGGTATGTAGACTCAAATTCTTTAAAGTGACACCCATTACTGAAATGATAGGTGTTGAATGTCTACATGACCCATGTGACTTTTACTATAATAGTGTTCATCCAGAGATTATCACCATTGGGATTTGCCAGTGTGATGCCACCAAGAGAAGAAGGGAGCTATTGAAAGCTGCCAATCAAGGCTGTGCCATTTACCAATATCTGAAACATTGCAATCATTTAAGACATGTTCAATTATTGTACCAGGATAGAACCAGCATGGCACAGCACTGTGATAATTTTAGCCCAAGTCCTGATTATTTGATTGGCCACAACTTTGACAGTTAGTAAAATAGCTTAAAATTTAATTCAGAATTATACAATGGTAACAAAGGCAGTATTACCCTTTTAAGGCCTCTTCTAATGCAAATGTTTGGTTTTTCTCTGCATGAAAATGCAAGGTCATTTTTTTTAACCACTATTAGTAACTCCTTGGAGACTGGTCCCAGGATGTTAGCATAGAAATGATTCCCAGGGCCCATCATAAAAGTGTACTTAATATAACCTTACTTGGAATGATAAGGGGAATACATTGTCAGTAAAAGAAAGCCAAAAGGCAGTAGACTTGATCAGAAAGGCAAGGCATTAA